ATACTTATCTTTCTGTGTGGACCTTCTTAACTACCTCAATCCATCTTAGTCACTGGTTTCTGTAAACTTATTACTGGAAGCACTGGCTATGAGGGAGAATGGTCTTGTTAGAATATAAGTGCTACAAAGGTAGGTATTTATGAACCTAGTAGCACACAATAGAAATTCACTAATATTTGTTGAGTGACTGAAATGGATGAGTGAATGCATACCTAGACTTACTGAAATGAGAATATGGGAAGACTGGATCTGTGAGCACATCTGTTAAATCTCCTTTTGAACTCTCCCATCATGCTGCTCACTGCCCTTCACTTCCTTCTGATCCATCCAATTCTTTGCTCTGGGTTTTTTTCTTATATCCCAAGGGTGACCTTCCAGGAATTGTATATAAAATATCCTCTCTCTCTCTTTCTCTGCCATTGTCTGAACTCAGCTATCAGGTATCTAGGACACCCTGAATAAATATTTTCATGATGAGACCTAAGTCTCATCATCTTCATCTGTAAAATTAAGAAGGTGGATTACCTAAATTTTTCTAGCACTATGGTATAGTAATTATGATTCCTTCCTTATCTCAACTAAAGTCAGTAATTCTCATGACAGCTTAGTTTACTTCTCTCTCTCTCTCTCTCTCTCTCTCTCTTTTTTTTTTTTTAAGGAAAAGATACATTAGGGATTGGGACCATGGATTTGTTAAAAAGTTTTGTGCGTTTTAGGAAATTTATGTCAGAAAAGAAATAAAATTGGGATACATGTGGACAAAAGTACCTTAAGTACTTATTTGTGTTCTCCTTTTGAACTAAACATTTGCATTCTTTGTCAAATTTTACAGTCTAGAGAAGGCTGTCATTCACTCAATATAAATAAAAATGCCTTCTATTGAAATGAGTAGAAATTGCTGTTCTGATGAGAATTAGTGGAGTAATAATAAACTTGATTTCTTTTAAATGTTCACGGTGTTCCACTTACGCCCCTCAGTCTGCTGCCTAATTCTAACTAGGGCAAAATTTGCAAATCCAAATGCCTAATAAACAACCTTCAATTTATAGGTCACCAGGACCATCACAAAGGTTAAGTTAAAAAAATTGCTTTACACAATTATTGCAAAAACTTGGCTTACAAGATCAAAGGGTAATATGAAGCAATAGAAGGAGAAGTTGATGTTCAAAAACTGTTAGGAAAATGTAAGTATCGAAGTAACTGCCATAGGCAAATTATCTAAAAAAAACCTGGGTCCCTGACAGTTGGTAACAGGATTGATGGAGCTTTGGTTCTGAGTAATAATGTTTCAGTCTAAATGGGCAGAGCAGAGCCTATGGGACAAAATTTACAGTCAGAGAATGTGAGTTGTATGATAACAAGACTGTGGAATTTATTGAAATTAGTTTTGGGCCTAGAAAATGATCATTTTTAGTAGTTTTCCTGTGAGTTATTAAGAAAAATGGGTGGTTTCTAATCCTGGGGTGATTTTATTTGTACCCATGAAATCAAGCTTGTCAATTGAGATATCAAATCTTTCATATGTTTATTGTTTTTGGTTGGTTGATCTGTCAATAGTTATGTTTCATGTCTCACACGTTGATGATATATTGGCCAATTTCTCCTTCTTCTATCAATTTTTGCTTTATGATTTTTTTTGAATAAGTACTTTATTAGGTACATACACATTTAGAATTGGAATATCTTGATGGTAGTAAAGAAAATTTATAGGAGGCCATTGGTTTGGACTAAACTTCTGCACTAGGCCAAACAGACCAAACCAAAATGGAATTATTCATGCTGAAGTTCTATGTCACCAGACTGAAGCTAACTTGTTTATCTGCCATTCCAAGATATTGGGAGGGAGGGAGGAAGGGAGGAGGGTGGGGGGGTGGAGAGAGAGAAAGAGAGAGAGAGAGAGAGAGCTAAATCCCCAAACAAACCAGTGTTATCCAGCGTGGTAAGGAAGTCCCCTCTACTTCAACCTTTACAAGGAAAGTAACTTGGAAATGACCAATCCATTTTTTGTTCCCTGTTTCTGCTTTCTCCAGCTCTTTTCTGCCTATGAAGCCAACCTCCTTTGCTCAGCTCATCAGAACACTCATTCTATTTTATACAGTTGGTGTTGCCTGATTCTAGAATTGCAAATAAAAGCCAATTAAGATAGTTAAAACAAATTTGTTGTAATTTTGTCTTTCGACAATTGTGAATCAAAAGTTTTACCATTATATGGTGAACTTTTTCTCTAAAATGCCTTTTGTTTCAAATCTTATTTTGATTAATGTCAATTGACAATCTCTATTAGCATGTGAGTTTAGTTCATATTAATTTACTGCACATATTTGTCAGAGATGTTCTAACCAGAGTGACTCCATCTTGAAAAAGGGCTGGGTAAAATAAGGGCTGCAAATTACTAAGCTGCCTTCCCAGGAGGTTAGGCATTCTAAGTCATAGGATGAAATAGGAGATTGGCACAAGATACAGGTAACAGAGCCCCTGGTGAGAAATTAGGTTTCAGTGAAGAAGCTGGCCCAAATTCACCACAACTAAGATGGCCATGAAAGTGAACTCTCATCATTTTCACTGCTCATTATATGCTAATTATAATGCATTAGCATGCTAAAAGACACTCCCACCAGCACCATGACAGTTTACAAATACCATGGCAATGTCTAGAATTTACCCTATATAGTCTGAAAAGGGGAAGAACCCTCAATTTAGGGAATTGCCCACCCCCTTCCCTGAAAACTCATGAATAATCCACGCCTTGTTTCACATATAATCGAGAAATAATTATAAGTATTCTTAGTTAAGCAGTCCATGCCACTGCTCTGCCTATGCATAGCTATTCTTTTATTTCTTTACTTTCTTAATAAATTTGCTTTTACTTTATTCCATGGACTTGTCCCAAATTCTTTCTTGCACAAGGTCCAAGAACCCTCTCTTGGGGTCTAGATCGGGACCCCTTTCTGGTAACATACTGATCTATTTTAAATTGTCTTTACCATCTTACGTTGTGTCTTCTACGGTCCTGCCTTTCCTATGCTTCGCCCCACAACTGCCACTCTTTATTTTTGTCTTTTTTTGGATTGGTTTGCTTTTTACATTTTCTTATTGTTTCCCCTTCACAATTTAGAAGTTATCCTCTTTATTTCTTTTCTTTAGTGGTTATGCACACTCATTCCCTACTCTACTACAGGTTTGGTGCCTACGTTTCTAAAACACTGGCACACTTTAAGTTTCTTAGGGGCTGAAGCTGAGATTTCTTTCTTCTTGTTATAATGCAGATTTGACCATTCTTTTCTTTTTTCTTACTCCCCCTCTGTCTTCCTGCCTTTGTATACCTAATATATTGCCCTGTTATTATATGCTTAACACTGAGCTTTACACTGGGAACAAGATATAGTCCCTAGGAACTCTGCAGAGAGGCATCTAGGTGTAAAAGAGAAATAACTCCATTTTTTTCTGGAAGGCATTCTGATGTACTCCTGTATTGTTCTGCTAATTTGATAAAAATAGCTATCGTCACAGTCACCTAATAATATTGGTTATCTTAGCCAATTTTTATACAAATTAGTTATTTATATCAAAGGAAATAATTCACATTCTAAAGGGAATTATTTATTTAGTAAATTTTCTGGAAATAGAGTGTCCGTGTGTGTGTTTCCCAGTCAGTGATCCTTCTGACTTCAAATTCTTTAAAATCGGTTCTGGTTGTTATAATCCTTTATGCATGTTCAACTCACTCTAGGTAGTATGTAATTTTGCAAGTTATTTTCCCTCTCTTTGCTCTATCCTATAATTGCTCTTTATCCCATGGCTGCAGTGAGCTGACCTTCAAAGTAATGCTGGGACCTGCTTTTTTTCCAGTTTGGATGTTGCCTTATTATATGTTCAATGTCATTTCATTGGCGCAGAAAGTTAGTGAAGTCAACTTTATGTCAGTTCTTTGCATCTTACCAAAAGGAAATTTCACTATTAAATAACCCGGTTGCCATTCCTGAGTCTTGATTCTACTGCTCTAAATTTTTCAAATGATCTTTTTTATTTCTGGGACACTTGCATACCCAATTGCCAAGTTTAATTTATGATCCTTGTTACTCTCTAAGTGTTTAATTGAGTTAGTGGTTACAGCTGAGTCATAAACCCATAAAACCCTTCACTGGTAAACTAATTAGCCACTGCACCTGCCCTCTAAATAATTAACATTGTTCATTACTAACAATCAGCATTGGAGTTATTAAGTTACCTCACTGCTCAGTTGTCTAAAGTAGAGGCTTTCAAACTTTAAAAATCATAATCCAGAGTAAAAAGTGCATTTCACAGGCCAACTCAGGATACACACACACACACACACACACACACACACACACACACACACTTACTTCCCTACTATCTGATAGACTCTGATATTTTCTATTCTATTCTTCTCTATGCTCATTCACTTAAAAATGTACTAACTTACTAAATATATTTTTCAGTTAAAATTTTTTTTATTTGGACAAATTCATGGGGTACTTGTGCAATTTTGTTACATGGATATAATGCATAGTGATAAAGTCAGGGTGTTCAAGGTGTCCCTTACCCAAGTACAAAACAGGTTTTGAAACTATTGTCACCCTACTGTGTTATCAAACATCGAATATATCCTTACTGTATGTTCGTATCCTTTAATCCACTTTTCTTTATGCGCGCCTCTCCCCATCACTCACTCTTCTGAGTCTCTATTATTTATCTTTCCACTCTCTGTCTCCATATGATCAATGTTTTTAGCTCTCACATAAATGTGAGAACATGTGATATTTACTGTTTTGTATCTGGCTTATTTCAGTAAGATAATGATCTTCAGTCCCATCCATTTTGATGCAAATGACATGATCTTATCCTTTTTAATGGCCAAATAGTATTTACCATCCATTAAATGGGTTATGACAGCTTCAAAAACACTGGCTCTTAAAAATTCATACGAAACAGAATGTTAAAAAGAATCAGTAAAGGTTTCTTTCAAAATTAGAACTTACTTGTTTCCTTCCCCATCATACACCCATCTAGTAGAGCCAATTCCTTCATAGTTTGAAGCCCAGTAATAAACACAGGCATTAACGTGCAGAATAAACAGCAGGTATCCAGTTGTTCGAATAACTCTGTCAGAGGCAATAGATGCAAAGTAAGAATTCACGTTGTTTCTGGAATACAGCCTATTTTAACATTTTCTTTTCTGTAAAGTCTCCAGTGAACCCCTTGCTTTGGATCTGTGAACTGCTAACTCTCATTAGTACAGTATAAAGTGATGGTACCATTGTGTGTTTTCTGATGGCAGTGTCTTGACTGGGATTGACAGAGTGTAAAAAAAAAAAAACTTCCTCTCTTTTCACAGATGTTGTGAGTCAACTCCGTGAAAGACATGCCTCAAGGGTCACCTCTTCAGTTTAAGTCTCGTAAAATACACTATGCTGATTTAACTGAAAAAGGCTCATGAGACTTTATGCTATGATGAACAGCAACTAGAGGTCTCAGTGCAAGTGAAGTTTAGAACAACAAATGAATAAAATTCAGGTTAGGAATGAATTATCATGAGAAAGGTTTAAAGTCAATTTGCAAAAGAGTATGTTTTTCTGTACTTGTTTTGACAGAAGCAGATAATAAGTCTATTTTCTTAGTCCAGTACTCTTCTGAAATCTGATATGATTTTCATATTTTATTTCACTTAAAATATCCACATCTGTTCTAGAACATAGTCTTATATTTTATATAGCCAAAAGCTGAAATTATACCCTTTACTTGAAGAGGGAAGTATATTCCTGCCAAATTCTGTAAAAAATAATGTACCATTGCTTTTTCCCCTTCCCCCAAGTATACTGAGTTATACTTTACCTGTAGATATATGCTTTGTCCATTCTAGACTCTAGGTGATGATTAAACTCAAAAAATGAAGTGTACTAAATAGAAAAGCAAAAGAAATCCAAAAGCATGTAAGTCTTAAATATATCTATTTAAATAAAACTATATGAAATAGATTTTATTCATTACTGAAAATAATTTTATTCATATGTCTTTTTAAAAATCCAAGATCTTATTTAGTGGTATTTTCCTCTGGGCAGTACATTTTATAAGCATGGCATCAGACTCCCAGAGCTTCTTGCTTTATTTTATTGCTACCCTTTAGTTATAGTCTTATTTTTAATGTTTGTTGAAAATGAAACTTAAAAAACCACTTTTTGCCTTTTCTTTTGAAAGCATATAGCAGAACTCGATTTCCCAACAACTAAAATCACACTCTCCAAAAAAATAAGAGGGAAAGTATAGTGCATTAAAGTTATAAATAGATATTAAGTCTTATCGCTCAACACTAGCATTATTTTTTCAGTGAATTGCATTAAATGTGTATTTGTTTAAACAAAATTTAAAGTTCAATAAGTATTAGCATTGGCTGTTCTTGACATTATTCAAAGATACAATGAGTTTACGTGCATCTAAAACAAGCAGGGTTACTATTTCCCTCCAGGTTTTTCCTGCTTACTTCTACCTTTATCTCAACCTTTACTGCCTGCATGCCCTCCTACCTCCTACTTCCCCTTTTCTTTCTATAGGCAGAAAAGTATTGAATCCAGAGCCAAATGCCAGTCATATCTCTGCCACTTACTACTGTATAACTGTGGAAAAGGCTTTCGGTGTTTCCATGCCTTGGTTTCCTCACCTGCAAAATGAGGTCAATAAGAAAAGATGCCCCCCAAAAGGGTTGTGTGCATATGTGAGTTAATATATTTAATGTGCTTCAAATCATAGACTCTTACAGATAGAAGGGACCGCAGAGATTACTTAGTTCAAAATTTTGCCCAACAGTAGATACCACTACAATGTAACATTTAGAATTAAAAATAGTGTATATTATAGTAATGACTATTTAACTAGAAATAGACACAAAGGATTTGTTTTTACAGAGTTCCTAAGTAGGAAAAAACTTCTTCCCTCAGATTATGATAATTTTAATGTGTGGCAATTTGTTTATTGTGCTCTTAATAGAAGTTTGCACAAAGGCATGATTTTAAATTTAGCTTAAGTGTTCACTAAAAAGAAAATGTATATTCTTCATTTGTTTTCTCATTTATAACTTGGAGACATCTAGATGTTAAATATTTATCCTAGAGAATTGTGCATTAAAATGATACCCTTGTAAATAAGTAAAATGAATGGACTATGAAGCTTAGAAAAGAAGATTAATGCTGACCGTCAGGATCTCCTGTAATTAAACGTCTAATGGATAGAGAGGGCCTTTGGACATTTTAGGGTTACAGAGATGGGGAACAAAGAGTTGCCATTTTATAAGCTTTTATCATGATGCCAGATAAACTCCTAAATCTATAGAAACCTAAGTATTTCTGAAAATTGGTTATCTCTAAGCAGGTAACTTCTGAATTTTCCATGTGAGGCAGGAAATTTGATAAGGGATGGCCTGACCACTAGATTATTTGGAACACTATTGTGTTCTGCCTCAATTTATTTTCACATTCCATGATCAAACCAGAAGTCTCTAGAGTTGTCTCAGATGTTTGGAAATGTGGGATAAAGAACCTCTGAAGTTGAAAATATCATATCAGAGAAAGAAACCCTTTCAGCCTGAGGCCTATCCAGTCAATCTGATTGTAATAAAGAATTTAGAATTAGATATATATGTGGTAGAGTTAAGACACTACCACTCATCTGCAGTGTGTCTGCAGATTTCTGCACCACGCTAATTCTTATTTTCCTTGTCTCTACAATGAAGTTATTGGGCAGAATCAGGGAGATAATGAATATAAAGTTTTAGCAAACTATGTAGCCTTTGTGTGTATTCAACAGACAGCTGTGACTATTATTGTCATTGTTGTTGTCAAGATCCACTGGTGGTACAGGTTATGTTATCTTGTCTTCCCAAGATGCAAAAGAGGTAATTAACTAAAATTTGTAAAAATCTTTTGTGATCCCTTTAAGAAGGTTGTTTTTAGAAATATATTGTTGCTATTTTTAAAGATTTACATGAAATTTCAGTTTCTGATTCTCCTCAAATTCTTTTTAGGTATCCAATGAAGCTATGGGTTATAAAGTATTTATGTCTTATAATCTTTTTGAATAGATAATACATTCACATAGTTCAAAAACAATATGAAATATTTACTTTCAAGCGTCTCATTCTTACTCTTGCCCCTATCCATTTTGAATTTCCTTCCTGCTTTCCCTTCCCACCTCAGGAAACCACTTTTATGAGTTTCTCTTTATACCTTTTCATTGTTTATCTAAATATAGAAAAATTGAATATTTTTCCTTTTTGTTACACAGAAGGTACCACTGTTTTATAAACTGTTCTGTAACTAGCTTTTTAACTTAACAATTTATCTTGAAGTTTTTTTATATCAGTACCTAAAAAGTTTCCTCTTTTTTCTTTAAAAGCTGCAAAATGTTCTATTATATAAATAATAAAAATATATTTCAGTATATTTAACTAGTTTCCACTTGACAAACATTTGAGTTGAATTCAAGTATGTAAGTAAATGTGATGTGAAAGTAGGAACTCACTTGTGAAAGTGTGTATGTGATGTAAAAATATGTTTGTATTTTTTTTTTAATTATGGAATTTAAGATGAGTAAGATAATTTAAGGTATTCTAACCTAACCTCTTAATTTTACATCCCATACACCATACATTCAGCAACTGAAAAAGGACAAATAGAACAAAAAACCAAAATGTATGAAATGTTTATTCCTAATTATAGTTAAATTCAGAAGTACAAAAGCATCCCTATTTTAGATTATAAAAATGCCTATTTTAGGTTATATAAAATGAACACAACCAGGAGCAACTTCCACCAGTGGACATTTTTTCTTCATTCATTAAAAAAATCATAGCATTGATGAGGGCAGAAAGATGGAGAAGAGTTTGGGAAAAATTAAGAATATTGGTAATTTTAAGATACTTTAAATTGTTTCAAGATTTCTATCATTATAAGAAAAAGGCAATTAAATATATTTATCTTACCTTTAACATCCTATTTGCTCTAAATATTGGATTAAACCCAAAGAAGAGGTAGCAAACATCAAATGGTATTATTGATGCAACATCCAACTGTTGAAAGAACACATTCACAAATACACTGTGTTTACATGCCTTTCTGGGAATGGATGGGTTTACATTGATGTATGTAAAAGCTGACCAGTCACAATGCATTATTTGTTGTTTAATCCAACACTGCTTTCAATTAACTATGTATGGTGCCATTTTAAGGCATATTAGCACCGTGAAAACTATTTTGTAGCCTCCTTCCAATGTATTTCACTTCCACCCCCTTGCCTCTGATCTCTCTTTAGGCACTGCATATGCTGGGATTTTTATTGAGCTGTCACATATGCAATGGGAATAGTTGCTACTGTTAAAATACATTTTAATGGTGTTTTTAGCATGGGGGCTCTTGGACTAAAAATCAAGTCCATTCTTGATTTTATTTGAAAGCATTGCACTTTTATTGCAGTGATATATTTTTATGTTTCAGCCAATTCTCCAGTGTTCAGAGTTGATTATATTGTGGTTCATTTAGGCTCTTCAATACTTTCTACTCTTGTCTACTTTGAACCATTTTGCTACCAATAAACTGCTTTAAAAGTATCTATCAGAGCCTGTGCAGGCTGAGAGAGGAGAAAAAAGAATCAATAATGTTTGCAATTATTCAGCAGATCCAATGGGAGAAGGTATTGAAAGTACTTTTACAGCTAAGAAATTTAAAAAGATTGTCGTGTATTAAAATTATTTTGGCCTTATGTTACCCTGGTCATTATGAAATGACAATGTCATGCTTCATACTTTCTTAATGGCAACAACAATAAGAAATTCTTTTGTGTAAAATAATTATTCATTTTTATTAAATTTTATATGGTCTTAATAGGGTATATTTTTAAATGTTAAGATATCTTAAGACAATTAAGAGCAGTTAAGAACATATTGTAAGGCCACGCATATAAAATAGAGAGTTGAGGACTTCCTAGCCAGAGCAATCAAGGAAGAGAAAGAAACAAAGAGCATTCACATGGAGAAAGAGGAAATTAAACTGTCAGTGTTCACTGATGACATGATCGTATGCCTAGAAAATCCTAAAAACATCTCCAAAAGACTCTTAGATTTGATAAACAAATGTAATAAAGTCTCAGGTTATGAAATTAATGTACACAAATCAGTAGCACTGCTACACACCAATACACATACAAAAATGACCAAGCTGAGAAGCAAATCAGGAACTCAATCCCTTTACAACAACTATAAAACAACAACAACAACAACAACAACAACAACAACAACAACAACAACAAATCCCTAGGAATATACTTAACCAAGGAGGTGAAAGATCTCTACAAAGAGAACTGCCAAACAATGCTGAGAGAAATCATAGGTGACACAAACAAATGGAAACACATCTGGTGCTTATGAATTGGACGAATCAATATTGTGAAAATGACCATATTGCCAAAAGCAATCTACAGATTCAATGCAATTCCCATCAAAATACCAACATAATTTTTCACGGAATTAGAAAAAACAATTCCAAAATTCATGTGGAACTAAAAAAGAGCCCTCACAGCCAGAGCAATCTTAAGCAAAAAGAACAAATCTAAAGGAATTACAGTACCAGACTTCAAGTCTGTAGTTAGCAAAACAGCATGGTAGTGGTATAAAAGTAGGTACATAGACCAATGGAACAGAATAGAGAACCCAGAAATAAAGTCAAATACTTACAGCCAACCGGTATTGAACAAAGCATACAAATACATAAATTGGGTAAAGGACATCTTGTTTAATAAATGGTGCTGGGAAAACTGGCAAGCCACATGTAGAAGAGTGAAACTAGATCCCTGTCTCTCACTTTATACAGAAATCAACTCAAGATAAAGACTTAAATCTAAGACCTGAAACTATAAAAATTGTAGAATATAACCATGGAAAAACTCTTCTGGACATTTATCTAGGCAAAGAATTTATGATTAAAGCCCAAAAGCAAATGCAACAAAAATAAAAATTAATAAATGGGATCTGATTTAAAAAGCTTCTTCACATAAAAAGAAATAATCATCAGAATAAAGAGACAACTCACAGAATGGGAGAAAATATTTGCAAACTATGCATCTGACAAAGGACTAGTATCCAGAATCTACAAGAAACTCAAATCAGCAAGGAAAAACCAAATAATTTGACCAAAAACTAGGCAAATGCCATGAATAGACATTTCTCAAAAGAAGTTATATAAATGCCCAACATCGATAGTCATTAAGGAAATGCAAATTAAAACCACAATGAGATACTACCTTACTCCTGAAAGAATGGCCATTATTAAGAAGTCAAAAAACAATAGATGTTGGCATGGATGTAGTAAAAGGGGAACACATATGCACTGATGGTGGGAATGTAAATTGGTAAAACTTTTATGGAAAAGAGTTTGGACATTTCTTAAACAACTAAAAGTGGATCTACCATTTGATCCAGCAATCTCACTATGGGCATCTACCCAAAGGAAAATTAGTCATTATATGAAAAAGACACATGGTTTATTTCAGCCCAATTCGTAATTGCAAAAATATGGAACTAACCTAAGTGGCCATTGACCAATGAGTAGGTAAAGAAATGTGGTATATGTACACCATGGAATAATACTCAGCTGTAAAAAGGAATCAATGTCTTTTGCAGGAACTTGGATGGAATTGGAGGTCATTATTCTAAGTGAAGTATTTAGGAATGGAAAGCCAAACACTGCATGTTTTTAATTATAAGTGGGAACTAAGCTCTGAGTGGGCAAAGGCATACAGAGTGATATAATGGACTTTCAATACTCAGAAGGTGGGGTTTGTTGAGGGGTGGGACAAAAACTGCATACAATGTGCACTACTCTGGTGATGGGTGTCCTGAACTGTCATAATTCACCACCAAATAATTCATCCATGTAACCAAGAACCACTTGTAACCCAAAAGCATAGAGAGTTGAGATAATTAATTGCCTAACAATTTCAAAGCCTGCTTCTATTGAACAAGAATGGAACTTCTGGCTTGAATTAACCAGATTAGCCATTATAAAGAAATTACTTACTAAAAGTATTGGTTTAGAAATTGCATCATATCATCAAATCTCACTGATTTTACCATACAAGTATCGATCTTTGTAACAAGAGGTGTACAGAACAGTACTTAAAATAATGTATCTGAAGTAAAAAAAAAACAGGCACACAGAACTGTTGACCTGTCTAATGCTACTCTAAAACCTATAGTTTTTGGCTCAAATCATAACGATCTTTTTTCCTGCTTTCTATTCAATTGCTCAATTCCCCTCTCAACTTCTCTATGCACACAGTCATTAGTCATTAGCCATTTTAATATTAACACATTGGCACAGATTTTGTAGACAGAGATAATTTATTTCTCATTGAACTGTAGAAAATTGAATTGAAGAAGTATTGACCAACACTAAACTCTGTGCCAGGCAATTTGCAAAGCATGTTGGGGTTGAAGTAGGAGTAAGTTATTGTTTCTATTCACAAGAAGTTATCAAGCTAATAGTGGAATGGCCAAGTACAAAAATACAGTCGTGTCACTTAACAACAGGGATATATTCTGAGAAATGCATTAGGTGATTTCATCATCTGAATATTATAATGCATACTGCATAAATCTAGATGTATTGCCTACTACACATGTAGGCTCTATGGTATAGACATAAAGGACTGGGCTTCTAGGCTACAAGCCTAGGAACATGTCACTGCATGGCATGCTATGTATGTTGCAGTATATTATTGTACGTTACTGTATAGCATGTTACTGTACAGAATATTGTAGGCAATTGTAATACAATGGTAAATATCTGTGTATCTAAACATATTTAAATGTAGAAAAGTTACAGTTAAAAATATGATATGAAAGATAAAATATGGTACACTTGTATAGGATACTTACTATGAATGGAGTTTGCAGGCATAGAATTTGCACTGGGTGAGTCAGTGAGTGGGTAGTGAGTGAAGACCTAGGGCATTACTGTACACTATTGTAGACTTTATAAGCACTGTACACTTAGGCTACACTAAATTCATTGAACAATATTCTCTCTTTAATAAAAAATAACCTTAGCTCACTGTAACTATTTTACTTCATAAGCTTTTGCATTTTTAAAAACTTTTTTAGTCTTTTGTAATAACACTTATCTTAAAACACACATTGTACAGTTGTAAAAAAGTATTTTCATTATATTTTTATTATATAAGCCTTTTTTTCTATGTTTAAATGTTTTAATTTTGACTTTTAAGCATTTTTGTTAAAAACTAAGACATAAGCACACAAATTAGCCTAGGCCTAAACAGGGTCAGAATCATCAATATCGCTGTCTTCCACATCCACATCTCGTCCCACTGGAAGGTTTTCAGGCTCCAAACATAGGTGGAGCTGTCATCTCCTATAATAACAATGCCTTCTTCTGGAATACCTCCTGAAAGACTTGCCTGAGGCTGTTTTACAATTAACTTAAAAAAAAATTATAGTAGTACATCCTAAAATAACAATAAAGAGTATAGTGTAAATACATAAGCTTGTAACATAGTCGTTTATTGTCATTATCCCCAATATTATGTACCATACATATTTGTATGTACTATACTTTTATCTGACTGGCAGCCTAGTGGGTTTGTTTACACCAACATCACCTGCAAACAGGTGAATAACCCATTGTGCTATAATGTTCGATGGCTGTGATGTCACTAGGCAATAGGAATTTTTCAGCTCCCTTATAATCTCATGGGACCATCACCATATATGTGGTATGTCATTGACCAAAATATCATTACACTAACACAAATTAAATATATAAATTAATTTAGCCCTTATTCAAACTGAGGAAATTAAGAGTTTGGAATAAGCTTTATGGCATTACAAAGAGTATTCATCATCTTTGTAGAATTCATCAAAACAGTATAAAGATCTTTTATGAATATGCCTATGTGGCAATTTTTAATAAAAATAATTAGTTGGAGATAAAAAAATAGAAAGGGTTATTAATCATTGTAGATTTCCAACAGGGATCATTTCATACCTAAACCCGGATTTGTATTTTTAAACAAACTGAGGCTACTAAATAAGTATGTTTGAAGTGGGAGGCTAGAGTTCGCTATTTCTCAGAGTTAGAGAAGGAAGTACTTTGAAAACATAAAACATATGTTTTATGGGAAATAAAACACATGTTTTAGAAAAGGAAGATTCCATGTTATCCAGATAATTGACTCTCTTCTAGTAATAATTTTTGTTTGAATATATGAGAACAACAAAGACGCAGGAGTAGAAATAATTTTGCAAACCTTATAAACATCATGGTACATGAATTGGAGGCTAGAATTTTGTAGACAAGACAAAGTATACAACCCATATTTATTGATAAGAAAATTAAATTTAAATGTGGACACTAACTTATTTTTGTCTGCTTAATCTTATATGTTAAATTACCCATTTTAGCCATTTGCACATACAAGGAAATATATCAAGTAATTATTGAGAGGCAAAAACTTCAGGCTTATCTTTGTCTAATAAAACTTCATATGTATAAACTTTATTTGTAGAAATCTATAGATGGGACTTAAAGCCAAAATGGTAATAGATTACTTGAGCAATTTTGAAATTGTTTGTGAGTCACCCACCTGAAATTTTGTAGAACTCCTGTAGTGTTTCCTTAGCTCATTTGAATCCACCTGAAACATATTTATATTTTAATTAATTTTAGCCAAGTTCATCAATTTTTTTCCTCACTTTGGAATTTATAACTATTCCTCTCTGCTGGTTCCTTCCAACCTTAGCTAATAAATACTCTCCATATTTCACATTTTAAAACAAAAAATATTTGGCTTTAGTATTCTTCTTCTTATTGTCCTATTGTTTGCCAAAGTCAAGCTTCTCAAGAGAGTTGCCTTCCTGCCATACTCTATATCCTTCCCTCATATTTATCTTTAACTCGGTGATTTGGTGGCAATTTGGCTTCTTCCCGCTTCTCTAATTTCAGCAAGGCTAACAGTACAAAGCCACCAACGACTTCCTAGTGATCACACCCAGGGTATCCTTTATGGCACTTAGCATCATGTTATGGCACTAATCCTAATTTAAAATGACACATATATTTCTCAGTTCATTTATATAAAATTAGTCTACTGCATTAAATGGTAATCTATCTGAGGACAGGTTTGATTTTGTTTAGCAACTATATTTAGCTAGTGCCTGAAATATACTAAGTGCCCAATAAATATTTGTTAAGTGAATCAATAAAGAAATGAAGAGATGAATAAAACCTTTGAAGCATAAAAAATTTTTTTTGACTTTTTTTTTTTCCCTGTAGCTTTTTCTTTTCAAAGAATCTGTAATGCCACTCTTAGTTTAATTCTTCACTTCCTACTTTTCAATGTTCTTCTTGGATTCTTGGGCTAGTCATTTAAAAGCCAACATTCCCCAGGATTTAGCTCTCTTCTCTTTTCTCTTCATACTTGTTTCCTGGGAAATCTCACTCACATTTAGTTTCAGAGATTACCATATGGGTTAATGCTACCAAATCTCTACTTCCACCTCATATCACTGTCTTGAGCTGTTGATGGGTAAGCAACTGCCCATTGTTTTCTTCGCTTAACAGATTCACTGCAAACCTGAATTCATCATTATTCTTCATTTCCCTTGAGCTGAACTGTGTTCCTCCTCCTGCTTCTGAGTATGCTATGAACATCCTCATGTACACTGCATAGAGGTCCTACACTGCGCAGTCTCCCTCAGCCCTCATCCAACCAGGGGAGGCCTACTTTAGGAAGGAGATGCTAATTCCGATTCTTCTTCCTAAAATTTTCTCATGTCCATTCTCTCCTTTCTGGCACTGCTATCTCTGCCTCTAGTATTGTTCCCCTTGATCCATTCTACAGTGGCAGCCAGATGATCCCTATAAATCAGATCACTTAAAATCTCCATTTATGTCAAATCCTGCAACTTCACATGGTTTTAAGAAAAAAATGCAAGTCCCTTTTCAGAGTTTACCAAGCTCTACTTTCTGTTTCCCACTTACTTCCTGGAGCATCCCAGAACAGAACCGACTTCGTTCAGCAGCCCCTCAAATGCATCAGAGTGATGCCTTTACCCATGCTGTCCTAGAGCTCAGAACATGTTTTTCCTTTTTTCTTATGGAGGTAAAAGGTGCAGATAACTCCAACTCATTCATCAAGATTTAGACTAAGGGTCCTCTCTGTCAGATGGTTTTCTCTGAACCTCATAGCACCCTGGACATGCCTTTTCACAATGTAAAATGCCACCATTTTTCTTTTGTTGGTCTGTCCTAAACATTCTGAGCTATGTAGGAGAGTAAGGTCCATCTCTTTGTCCTTTATTTCCTCAGTTCCTAACACAGTGTCTAACACAGAGTAGGTGTTCAATAAATATGTGACTAGTGATAGATGACTAGAGTTTTCAGACCCAATACTATGCAGCCATAAAGAAGGATGAGTTCATGTCCTTTGCAGGAACATGGATGAAACTGGAAACCATCATTCTCAGCAAGCTGACACAAGAACAGAAAACCAAACACCATATGTTCTCATTCATAAGCAGGTGCTGAACAATAAGAACATGTGGACACAGGGAAGGGAACATCACACACTGGGACCTGGGGAGGAATAATAGTGGGTGGGGGGATTAGGGAGGGATAGCATTAGGAGAAAAACCTAATGTAGATGATGGGGTGATGGATGCAGCAAACCACCACCATGGCATGTGTATATCTATGTAATGAACCTACATGATCTGCACATGTACCCCAGAATTTTAAAGTATAATAAATAATTTAAAAAATAAAAGCAAACAAAAGAATTAATGTGACTTACACATTTCACTTATATGTAATAAGGGATTTTCTAAGTGCTCTTAATGAATCAACCAAAGCATTATAACTTGGGCACATGGAAGTAGCATCTTCTAACAATTATCATTCAGGTGTCCAGAAGTTTTAAACTGCTGCTTGAGCAATGTTAGAGATTGGTTAGTCAACTCCCCAGTTTCTCCCCACACTACTGACTTTTTTGGCTATAATTTTTACCCATATACACATAATAAATTTTACAGAAATATATTAGAAAATATATGACATGCTCATTTAGTGATTTTTACTGTGAAACAAAGTAGCTTACTGAGCCACAGGTAGACATAGACACAGGTTCAAATAAACAGGCTTACAAATCATGTAACACAAGAGTAAAATCAGTCACTTCCTTCAAAGCTTATATGGGACAGCCAGATATATATCAAGTGCTAGACAGTTAAGTTAAAACGCCACCTCCACCCTACACCCAGGAAGAATGTTCTTAGCACATTTGTCTGTTTACTTTCAAGGTTGTCTATGATACTGTGATTGAGTAAATGTAAATGCAACTAAAACTTGCTACATTAAATGAAATGCCATACAGAGATTCTTAAATCTATCTTGTGTAGAGCAGTAAATAAATTTGGCCTCATTAGCCTTATGAGGATCAGCATGCTTACCGGTAACAATTAGGTACTTATTTTTGAAATGTCACCGCACTTAATTCTCTCTCCCTCTTTTAAGTCTCATCATTATGCCAGCAACATTTCTTCAGGGGAGGCTTACTTTAGGAAGGATGTGCTAATTGCACCTAAATCCTTTTCCAACAGACAGTTTTTGAAGAATATCTACTCAGGTGTTAGTATATTTAGGTAGTATTCACCTCTTCTTTTTCCCTCTTTTGGCTAAATCCATTTATTCTAAAATAAAAAGCAAAATAAACAGGAGTTGCATCACCAGGGCTTCATGACCCCATGCCTCCCTCCTTTCTCTGTCCCATGCTATCAATAAATCAGTTTCCCAGCCCCAAATAATCATTAGAACCTCCTCCCCATGTGCCAGCTCCAACCTCCTCTATGTACGATACAGTGGGTGGCCCTACCCCCGGAATATACAAAATGTTACACAGATATGATATGTACACTGGGGAAGGGGAGCCACCCCCAGCAGCGCATTCCCTCACCTGGTCTACAGTCAGCCCCATTGTCCTGCCTCAGCTGTGTCTCTGAGTAAGAAGATGGAGCCCCCATGAGGGAAAAGTTGCTTTGGTGAGAGTAAGGCCATTAGGGAGGCCACCAGGCTTCCTCCAAATAAATAAACTCTACGAGTCTCTGGCTCTTAAATAACAACAATAATCATCCAGAAATTAAGGACTCAGCCCTGGCCAAGGTGGCAAAGGGTCTGCACTTGTTTGTCTCCCCCCATTACGCAGGGGTCTTATCTTGCTGCTCTAAGGATAACGGGGTGACTGGGAAGGGCTGGTGTGGAACTGGTTGGGGCAAAGCCTCTGGCCCCACTTCTCCAAGCTTTGCTGACAGTGGCCAGCTTTTAGATGATGGTAATCGTCACCTCTTTTCTCAAAAATGGAATGCAGGGGTTTCTGCCCAAGCCTGGGCATCTCCTGGAGGTTCTGCATCTCAGGAAGCAGCTGCATAATCTGCTGTGCAGTGGGATTGTCGAGGGGTAGAACCCTCCCGGGCCGGTACTTGTGCAGGCTCCACTCTGTGAGCGAGGCTCATCTGGCAACGATCACCCAGAGCTGGGGCTCCTGGAGCGGGCTCATCAGCAGGATTCTGGGCAGCTGCCAGGAATTTGCCATGCCACTTGCTGCGGTTGCCCACAAGCCATAACACCAGCTCCTGCAGCTCCAGCAGCTTCACCTTCATCTCCTCATTGTCCTGGGCCAGCCTGCGAATGTACTTCTTCCAGGGCCACAACTTCAGCACTGGCCTCTGGCTCTGGTACAGGGTGATGTACTTTCTTGCGGAAGGACAGGGTTCAGACGCTGGGGCCCCTCTGACCGCCCTGCAGCTCCCTCTTCCATGCCCTGGCCTCCCCCTCACTGATGGTGTCTGTCTCTCCAGACAGCTGGATGCGGTGACATTCCAGTTTCTCTACCCGCTCCTTCAGGTCCATCTTCTCTTGCATGAGCTCCATAAAGTGGCTCTGCAGCTTCTCCATGGCCCCCTGCAGGGCCCAGTGGGTCTTCCCACACACAGAATCGCCTCCGGTCCCTGGAGCTAGGGCTGCTGCTTCTGGCTCCTTCTAGGCCAAGGCCACCAGGTGAGCCAGGCACTGGCAGAGCATCCTTTGCTCCTTCAGCTGCCCACATGGCTGTGCCTGCTTCTCCTCGCACTGACTACAGCTGAGTTAAAAAATGCCGCCATGGCCTCCCTACTCTCCAGGTCCTCCAGGATGCTCAGCATGAGCCGAGGTGCCTTCTCCTCCTCCTCCTCACTGTCTAGTGTCCATCTCCTTCCCCATGGGGAGCCAAGAGGCTCAGCTGGGCTGGTAACTGCTGCTTCTGCTGGGTGGCAACTTCCAGGCACTCCTGGGTCTCCTGCCACTCTTGGCAGGCCATCTCAGCACCACTTTGCCCTGAGCTTCCTCCTGCGGCAGCTGGTCTGCAAGCTGGGTCTGCAGCAATAACTGCTTGTGCAGCTCCTCCATTTCGGAGGTGACCTGCTGCAGGTGATCCAGGTGCTGATCTTGCTACTGCTTCAGACTCTTAGCCTTTTGACTCTTCAGCTCTACCACCTCCTTCAGCTCACCCAGCTCCTTCTTGACTTGCTGCTCCAACTGCAGTGTGCTGGTGATCTCCACGTTCTTATTGTTCAGCTTTATGAAGCTGCTCTGCAGCTTGGCCAG